TTTCTGGACCTTACTGACACTTCCATGTTCCATGCAGAGAGGCAACCACACACCAGGGCGTGCATGTCTACACTGAAATAGGATCCCCCTATAGAGGTTCTGGACAGTCTTCTTTTTCCCTTGTGAAAGTATGAAGTTCTCTCCCCAAAAGGTTTGTGTTGATTACAGACAATGCATTTGTTAACTGTTTTAATTGTAACAAATTAGCTCCCCAATGATTTTGAAAGCTTTACTCTGTTGCAGACCCTTCTTCATGCAAACTGCCTTTTCATAGACCAATCTGGGGACTCTTGGAGAAGATGAATGTTCTTGGCTGTTCATCTGAGGAAGATCCCTTAGATCACATTCACTTATCTTCTCCACTCAGTTTGCCCTGTGATAAACTAGGGTTTGCCAGGTTTGTGCCTGCTTATGTAATAAGAGAATGGAAATGGAATGAATGCTCTGAACAAAGGCAGTAAAGTATTATTACAGCTGATGAAGGAATGATTTGTTTCAAATGCCAATTGCTTGGAGCAAGGACTTAGTAAAAACCAGATAATAAATGGTTACCATATTGGCAATGTATTCTCTTATTGATCTTCTATGGAAATCAGATTTCAGACAGAAAAAAGCCTGACATGCTTAAGGCTAGATTCTAAAACAAGTGTCTATGATGAATTGTTACCAAGTTCCTAACTGCTTACAGGACATTTTCAGAAGCACTCTGATACTTAGGCTATAACTTTTTGATGTTATTTGATTTCTAGATTCTATAGGTTAATAAAATTGAAAAGTGAACGTTTTATGACCCAGAATAAGGTTATAGTGCAGAAGAATTCTCTTATGTCTGCATTAGACTCACCTAGAGAGCTTATTTAAAAAAGATTTCCAGTACTTCATTATGCAACAATTTCAATGTAGAGGTTACAGGAGAGCCCAGGAATCTGTATTTATATTAAATGGCACATGTATGGGTAGGCTTAAAGCTCTTGATGGGAGTTTGAGAAAAACTGCAACAGATTCATCTTGTTTTTGAATCAGGTTTCACAGGACCCATATAAGAAAGAGGACGAAAAGTTAAGAAGCTTAAAATAGCTGAAATCAAGCCTCTGGTTCAGAGTGCCAAAAGAGAGGAAAGGGATGAAAAGAAACACATACAGAGCTAAGCCACTCACCTTGCTCCCCTCACCTGATCCATGCCAGATTGACATCATTCATGAGAACCTTTATCCCCCAAAGTCTCTAATGCACCCTCTGGGTTCAGCACTCTGCCTCAGGAATCAGAGGCGGGTTTAGTAAATAGCACTGAAGTTAAAAGATCAGAGCCTCTCAACACCCGAAAAAAGAATAACAAAACCACCAATCATATAAATACACTGCCTATGCTGCAAAGCACTTTTAAACATCTGGATAGTAGTGTACTTATTCTACATTCATCCAGATGTTCCTGCTTTGTGTGCAGAGCATCCTACGCATCCAAGCCTTCTGTTTCGATGTGCGTTTCCATGCTTGAATAATCAGTGCCTGGTGAGCATGTTGTGGGATGTGGGATGATGACACGATAAGAACCATGCAGCCTCAGTTTCAAACAGATTCTGACCCAAAGCTTCATTTGTAACTCACACATTCAAATTCAGTACAAAGCTTCCTCTGGAAACATATTACATGCATTGTTAAGTGCTCAGGCTAGCTCACAAAAGGCTCTTTAATCCATAATGTAGTAGATTGATGTAGGCTATGGATTCAAACACCCAGCTGAGACCTGGAAGGAGGCTGCTTCTCTGAAGCACGGGTGGTGTGGGGAATGCAGACAGGAGGGGTTTTTTGTTGTCTTTTCTTTTGTGAGGTGAGTTCTGTCTTGGTTAGAAAGCTTACTGGCCCATGTAGACAAATACCCATGCCGATACACCAAGGGCTGGTGGTGAGTCATGTTAGTTAACAGAACAGTGCTTCTTAGTGATGTGCTAATGTCAACAGTGTTCTGTATGAAATGAATCTCTAATGAATTTAGGTGCAGTTGACTAAAATGGGACTTTAACTACAATAGGGAAATTTTTTCAAATATGTGTTGCTTTGCTGTGGGCTAAAGTAGTGAGTGACTAGTCTATCTCTGGGGGTGGAAGAACTCATTTCACATCACTGCTCTCTGTTGATGTGTTCAACCAGAGAACTTCTGTGGAGAGGAAAAAGCATAATCACTGCAGAAGAATTTAAGAGGCAGAAATGGAGAGAAACTGTGTGGACGCCCAAGGAAATCTTGAGTAGAATTCATTCGGAAGGACTGCATTTACTGCAGAGCTTTCACTCTGTTCTCCTTGTAAAAGAATGAAATACCTTTGTCTAATGTCGGAAGAGAGCAGGTGAGAGCAAGAAAAGGAGAGGTTTCTCAATCTTAAGTGAGCAGGTTCAAATCCCATCTCTTCACCACTTCTCAGTCATCTTGCTTGGGGCAAAGTCTTTATTCTCTCAAGCATCCTTCTTCCCATCTGCAACATGGACTAATAATAGTTATTATCATCCACTACCTCAAAGGAAGTGGTAAGGAAGAGGACATGGCTGAAGGAGCCTGGTGCACTATAAGCATTCACCAAGCGGAAGCTATTATTAGACTGCAGGAAATAATTTGGTGGCCTGCTCAGTTGAGTATAATAACAGGCTTTGTGTAATAGCATCCTAGCCTGCCCAGCCAGACAAAATCGGTACATTCTAAGCCAGCTCTGTAACCCCTATGACCAGGGGTTTCCAGTGTGGCAAGATCCTTTGCTTCTCAAAGCTGCCATTCAGTGATTTCCAGTTTCTTACAGTGTAGGTAGCTTGGTCATAGGCTGAGAAAAGACGGCAAGTGGTTAGTCATCAGGAAGGTTGTGATCATCAACAAAATCTTAGCACAGGACTGATGACAATCTGAAAGAGGGAAGGACCTTTTCTTAGCTAGGCCTTGTATATCCAAAGGTGAGTCTGGGGTTGATTTGTTTTTCTATTTGCCTTTTCTCAACTAGATCTAGCACATGAATATTTGAGATGTGCCTTATAAAGCTGGCCTGTAATTCATACTATGATTTTAGTTTCCCCAGATAAAGGGGATGAGGAAATTCCCCAGCATCAATTCCAGGTGAAGGAGACATCTCCGGCTCTCTTCTTCTCACTGCTCTGCTGCAGTTCCTTCACTATTTGTCTCTCACATTAATGAACTCTGAACTCACTCGACATAGGTGAAAAGATAGTTTTTATTAAACATGATATTAAAAAGGTTAGCTTCTCTTCTAGCACTACATGCAGTTACTGAAATGGATAAATTCAAGTGGGAGTAGATTGATAATAGGTTTTCTCTCTCTTACTCTCTCGTTTTTGTCTTCCCAGATTATATTCTCTCTTCCTGTCCCTTTCCTCCATCTCCAACTTGTAACAGTGTCCCAGGAGTCCCTGTGAGACAGCCCTTTTGTAGAAGCCAGCCTGTTCCAGTGCACATAATCCTACCTTATAATCATCTGTGAGTATCTCAATCGGCCTCAATAGATTGTAGATGAGAAGGATCGTATGTTTTTATCAAACTATGACTCACAGCCTCCATTCTTCCATGCCCCAGCTTCTGGCTCAAAGATATTCTGAGAGGACTTCAGTGACAGGATTCAATAAGAACGTAAAGGAAGTGAGGGCTCTGAAGTGGTAAGCCCAGCATCTTGCAGCTTGGTGCTTTTTGGAAAACGATCAAACTGGGGACGTGCTAGCATCTCTGTAGGCCGTCACTGTGTCTGCTGTGATTTTGTTACCTCTACTCCTCTCCCATCCCTGCTTCTCTCTGTCACCAAATCTTACTGTTTCTTCTTCAGTATACTGTTCAATGAATTTTTTCTATGTATCCCTTGATATCAGTGTCTTCTCAATGTGTCTAGCTGTGATCCAAGGTGACTGTGTTACTTGGACCAAGAGATCCACTAAGGCATGGTGTACTTCTTGAGGTACTCTCGACTAAGAGCAGTTTTGTGTATATCAGGTACTCAGCCTAGGAGCATCTTTCCTCCAAAAAAGTACAATAAAGTCTCCAAAATGTTTCCTGAGTGGTCACTGGGCTTTGGGGACTGGGCCTCTCTGCCTGAGGTGTGGCTGGTGATAGATGCCTGTTAAAGATGAACCAGAAGAGATTTACCAAATGCCAAGATTGTACAAGACATAGAGAGTGTCCCAATTTCTCGGGGTGTTAAGATGACTCATCTAGTGAGTAGAAAACTCATAATTTGAAAAGTGCCCAAAGTACACACCAGCCACTGTCATATGCTGGTGTTCATAGGAGCTCACATAAGCTGTATTTTGCTGCTGGTGCCTGGGCTCCTTGAGAAATTGGGAAAGGAATACTTGAAACTTGGTAGTTTATAAAGAAAAAAATTTATTTTGGCACATAGTGGAAACTGGAAAGACCAGAATCAGGCTGCTATGTCTTGTTAGAGTCTTGTGGTGCTGTATACCATGGTAAAAGTCTGAAGGTTGATAAAGGGCATGCGTATGAGTGAGGAAGGGACAAGACACCCAAGATAGCTAACACAATCCTGCAAGGAAGAAATCAGTCCATTCGTAAGTGCTCTTCCCCCTTGACACTAAAAACTTCCATTAGGCTCCACCTCCCAACAATTGAGGAATTCGTTCTAAAAGAAAAAATTTGAACAACGCACCCAACCCATCACAGCCAAGAAATGGGCTCCACTGCCACAAATCCAGATGTTTCATGAACCAGGCTCTGGGACAACAACTCTTTCTTGGATAATACTTTGATACATAGATGTGTACATAAAATCACTTAGCACAGTGCCTGGCACATGGTGAACCCATGAAAGAACTGACTTGTGTTTTCCAAAGCAACTTAGACATTAAAATGAAAGAATCCATAAAGTGAAGGAGAAGGAGAGACTGGGGATCAGAGAAGCTTCTACTCAGAGCTTGATCTTAGGAATAGGCCAGTGCTTGGCAGGTACAGGCTGAAAACCATGGACATTTTTTTTTATATTGTTTGTTTTCTTGCACAGTGCCACCCTGAGCTACTGCTGCTTCCCTCCCGACTCCTGAAGGAATCTAGAGGCAACCACAGGGGAAAAGCTGAGCACGCAGGTATGCTAAAGGGAAGTGTGCCATGTCTGCAGTGAGCAGCTCTGCTTTTTTGCAAAGTATATATCCTGTTGTAACAGGAGAACTCCATTTCTGTAGATTTCTATTGATTTTGTGCTGATTTAGGGTTTTTAGGGTGTTGTTATAGCTGAGCCACTGTTTTGAGGGTTTGTTTACTTAGGCTTAACTGCTCTCTTCAGAAAGTATAGTATGAAAAATACATGACTGTGCTCAGATTTATTCAACTTAAGTTTCTTTGCTGTCATTGGAATCTCAACCCAAGATGCTTGTTTGAAAATTTAAACAACAATCAAGAAGGTCATGAGAGGGAGCTGGAGAGATGGCTCAGGGGTTAAGAGTACTGGCTGCTCTTGCAGAGGACCTGGGTTTGATTCCCAGCAACCACATGGTGACTGACAACCCCATCTGTAACTCCAGTTCCAGGGAAATCTGATGTCCTCTTCTGACCTCCGCAGGCATTGTTGGACACATGCGCACTAACATACATGCAGGCAGTAAAATCATAAACAGAAAATAATAATAATATTAAATAAAATATTTTTTAAAAGAAGGTCATGAGAGACGGAAGATCATTTAAGGATACAGCTGTGTGCAGTGGAAGTCACCTGAAAAACTAAACACAAAGCTGGTAGCCACAGCTTTGTTTTTTGCTATATGACTTTTTTAGACTAGATGGGGAAAGCTTTACTTATTTAAGCTTCTAATTAAAGTAAAAGAATATCTTTCATAATAAGTAAACAAAATGAATGTTTGACTAGAGGGCACAATTCACAATATTAACATGACCAGAATTATGATGGCAGTGGCACTTGGGTGAATCACAGGCCGTATAAGAATTGGGCATGATAAAGTGAATTGTTTTGATGAATGAAGGATCTGGACATCATAGCAGCAATTGTCCTCTGTAATAATCAGGCCAACCTACTACCTACAACATGCTGAGCAAGGAGGTAATCAGGGACAAAGCGTCGCATTAAAGTGACATGGAAGACCTGCTAAAAATCAGGCTCAGAGCATTTCATCACCATTTATTGTGACATAAAATAAAATGCTGAGCTTTCTGCAATCCTTACTGCATTCCTTAATTCATAAACAATTATCTTCTATTAGATAAGACCATATTACCCTGTATATTTCTTAAGATATATATTGGTTCGAAGAATAGTAGTTGACCATTGTGAGAATGTGTCTTCCCCATTACTTTCTTATTAGTAGGCTGAAATATTAGGCTATGTGTGCATTAGGATGCTTAATAGATATAATAGGACAGTAGTGAAAAGTTTTACAAAAAGGAAGAATAAGTGCACAGAAATGTTACTCTGTTATTGGTATTCATGCTTTAAAGAATTTATAATATTTTTAGTATCTCTACCATTGCATACAGCAGAGATAGGCTCTGAAATGCAGCACATTTAAGGTAGGAATGCAGCAGGGTACTTTATAATTCCATACTGTGTGTTCCTGTTTGACCTTAAACTCCTTGAGAACTTGAAGCACATCATTAGCACCATTATTCCAAGGCTGTAGAAAACTGCAAAATGAACAAAGAAGGGAAAAATCGAGTGGAACTGTGTTCACATAGTGAAAGTTTACGGATTACGGCATTTTTTTGTAATAATAAAAAAACTTCAAGTTTGAATATCAGTGACAAATTTTTCTTCTAGAGCAAAGGAGAAATTTTTAAATTATGATACTGGCTTGATAGAAAGCAGTTTCCCTCACAACAATAGAAACCCTGTTTCTATTACCTGATCCTCCCTCCCTGGAGGAATGGGATATGTGGAAAGGGACTAGGTTTATAAAAGCTAGAAATAAAAGTACAGGTTGGACATGTGTTCCAAGGCAGAACACATTTCAGATTGGCAGATTCACCACATTTTCCCTATCTCTTGTGCATTTATTTAATTTTATCTGTTCTTATGGTGGTATTTGGTGATAAGGTAAAATAAGGCATTTTTTTCCATTTGTTAACTAGACATTTAAAGGGAACAGGAAAAAATGGAGTGGAAAAGTTGATATCTGATAATCCAGCACACTCAACAACTACTTCATAGATTTGTAAATAACCAGGGCACCATAAGCCACTGATATTTCAAAGGACTCCTTCTACCCTATATTCTAAGTCTTTCCAGATCAGTACAGTTCACCATATGGAAAGGAAGATAAGAAATCAGTTGTTTCCCACCTTCAATATCTCCACAGGATAAAAAGTCTCTAAGTCCCACAGATACATTCAACCAAGATATTTATTCCACATGTATTTAAGGACAGGGTTCAAACCAATAGGCTCGCTTGTCTGATACAAATGAGAAAATGTGCCTCTTGTTCATTATTAGTTCTCTATCACAGTGTGTGGCACATAAAAGCACATAATGTATGAAAGTTGAATAGACTTGAATTTTTCACAGAATGGGAGAATCTTAGATTTGAAGGAGAAATTATCCAAGCTCAATGTCTATTCTTTTCTTTGCCAATTATAAAAAGCACCTTTGGAATGTCACTTTGCATACAGAATGACAGAGATGTGTGTGTGTGTGTGTGTGTGTGTGTGTGTGTGTGTATGCATGCCATTCCATATACATGTATATATACATGTGTGATATATATTAAAGTATCATATATACTAATATGTGCATATAGTCTCATGTTCTACAAAACAGCAATTTAAAAGCAGATATCTCTGGAACCACCACCTAGTGACTTTTAATTTCTTTGATTTGGTTTACTTTTGTGTCCTTTAATAATTCTCATAATGACATGTCACTTGATAGCTAACTGAGATTAAGATTTAAAAAATATCTTTGTGTAAATCCATTAAAACCATAGCAATACCTACATAAAATTCAGACTACTGTCATGAATACAGCTTTTGAATGAGAACCCTGCTCCTTCTACTTTGTCTCCTTTGCAGTGGCAAATTTCTTTTCAAAGAAAACTTCCCATGCCAATGGCAATGCTGAAAATACAAGTCCTGGACCTTCACAGAGAATAAAAAAGAGTCTTCTTCATCTAGCAGGCCCATGACCTAGATTCTCTAGTCAACCAGTACTAACTCTTCCTCATTCAGCAGTGATCAGCTGCCCCTAGCTCCTGGCCACAGTTGTGACTTCCTGCCCATTTCCCTAGTTCTATACTGGTTTTTGTCTGATTCTGTTTGAATGGGTCTTGTGCGTGTTAAGTTTCCTTTAAAGAAACTAATCACTGTCTGAATGGAAAAATAAAGCTCAACAATGAATGGAAAGATAAAATTTAAGAAAACAGCTATCTATTCCACACTTACTATTTTCTTAGATGCTGCTGGTAAAGAACTACATTAGTCTTTGGAATGTATCTATATTTTTTCCCTTTTCTTCTGTCTTTGAGACACCATCTCACTGTGTGGCCCAGGCTGATCAGAATCTTGAGCTCCACTGCTCTTCCCCTGCCAGCCTCCTGAATAGCTGGGGCAGATAGGCATATGCCACCATGCCTGACTCTGGGTTTCTTTCTATAGAAAAATTAAAAACATCAATTTTTTTCCTGAGGGAATGGAAAAGAATTTTGGTAAGACATTTTGTACAAAGGATTTCACAAGTGACTCCTTTTAGCTAGCTTAAGTTTGAAATGGTGGGAAAAACAGGATTCCCAAGGCAAAACTCTTCTGTAAAACTAATCTTTTCCAAACAATGTTTCTTTAGAGCACAAAAAACTCAAGTTATGATTTTCAGACAGTTTTTTATGATTCTTGCCCAGAGGGTGAATAGGCCCATCTGCCATGCAGGAAAATCACATCTATTTGGTAATAAAATACACTTTTATTCCCTTCATAGAAGGACCTGATATGTACGCCATAGTGATTTTTTTGGTTCCTTAATTATGAAGCTGCATTTTACCATCAACATAGCTTAAAACAATGAAAACTTATTAATTACCCAGACTACATAGAACAATATTGGGCATTCTAAAAATGCTACAAGTGAATAAAAAAGTAAACTCTATCTTGAATTATGAGGTGAATGTTGAAAATTTTTATGAAAATAAAGCCTTCGAATGCATCCTTAGTTGGCTTATTAGTGTTTAGAAAGGCATAAAAGAGTAATCTTGGTTTGGTAACTTTAATGAGTTTATCAGCAACTTGTAAATAAATATTTTGGGATGCACACAGCAGCTGCATGTGCTGACCCAAGCATAGACTAGACAGCATCTGTGGACACAAAAGAAGAGACCAATTATGATCTGTTTTTCCTTCTCTATAGCCCACTCTATGTACAGCAGAATCATGTTAAGATCTCTAATAAACTATTCAGGTATGACAGTACAAACTTTTATATTTGTACTTCAAATAAAAGATTTTAATCACTGGATCCATATCTAGCTCCTACAGAGAAATACTAAGCATATCCTAAAGACAAGGGACCCTCATCTAGATGAGTGCCCATGCAGGGTCATAGCTGCCTGCTAAACTGTGGCTAAAAGGTATTTAAATGGAAGTGTATGAGATGCTTTGGGAAATGAAGTCATTCTGTGCATAAAATTTACGCAACAAGTGTGTCTTGATTTTTAAGTGCTATGGTGAAGTGTGACCTACAATTATATATACAACTACCTCAATTATCAGCAATAAGATTTGTTGCAATAAAAAACTTTTGTTTTCAGATTTAGGGGCTCTGAATATCACTAATACCTGCATTATACATCAAGTGTCCTTTCACCAAAGTCTCTCAGCTGATTCACTGACTCCAAATAATCCTCACTAGGGCATACCAAAATTAGTCCCTGTTGTCATCTTCTAAAACTAATCCTTTCTACAATTCTTTCACTTGTATGGCATATGCACACCTTTCCCTAGTATTAATAACATAAGGGCACAAGATAGTGTGCTGGATAGCTTTGGTTGTCAACTTGACACACCTGGGTTGAAGGAACCTCATTTGGGGAACTTCCTCCATTGGACTGGCCTGTGGCCATGTCCGTGGGGTATTTTCTTGATTGTTGAGTGATGT